CAATGAATAATTTAAAAAACTTACAACCATAAAATTTGTATTATGGCTATATAAGAAATTCCACTCTAGCATTAAAGACTTTGAAAAATGGGGAATGAAGCACATAATCCATTATCCACTGGGACAACTATACCCACTTACTCCCCTTTATTTTGCTTTGGGCTTTAGAATGTTTAATCCTGCAGGGAAGTGACCAGCAGAGACACTTGTAAATGAACATGACCAAGCAACAGTCTAGTCCAGGAGTTTTAACAATACAATTAAATATGGATACAAGTACAACTTTCAAATGAAGTTATTTAGGCCAGCATGAAGGATGTCTTTATGGACCATATCAATTTATTTTTTGCATTATTTTTATTCTATATACAACAGGAAAATCAAAGATAGTAAATAATTCTACCTAACAATTCATCAACATTTTATGGCAACTCATGTGAGACACAGGGCTCACTACTTAATGTGTTTATAGTAACAAATTATCAGTGGTGGTGATGGAGTGTTTGAATCCACAAGTAGCCTTAGTAAGGCTAAGAGAACTTGGTACATGGGAAATGGAGATATATAAGACCTTCTTCATAAACACTTGATATATCACTGGGAGTAAGCCACACTACTGAGTATTACTCTGTACAGAAAGTTTGATGCATTCTGGGGAAATGGAAGTCACTATATGTTCATGCACTTTCCTCTATAAAAATTTTGTTATCAAAAAAGAAAATACAATTTGACCTGACTTATTATATCCTTATGTGGTGCTGTGGGTTAACGTGCCAAACTGCAAAGCCATTTGAACTGAAGGTTGGCGGTTCAAGCCCACCAGCTACTCCTCGGAAACCCTATATAGGGTCACTATGGGTCAGAACCAACTCGACAGCACTTGACAACAACAACAACTATATCTCTATGCCTTTTTCCTTTTATATCATTTACATCCAAATTTTATTTTGGTGCTAAGGATCAACAGTAGACTGCACAAGGAAAAATGCTAAATTTCCCTTCTCTCAAGAGGTCACACTAGGTCTATGGTCCCTAAAGTGTTAGAAAAGTTAACTCTCTTCTTTCCTTTTCTAACTACTGATAAAATAAAAATTATATATAGTTATACTAAATGGAATAGATTTGACAAAACCATATATTCATAGCATCTCTACTCCACTTCTTCTCAGGGATATATCTACTCAACATAGAGACTACAACTTGTGCTTCAATGATATCTCCATTACATGAAATTATATGAATTGTGGTTTACAGTGCTTTTCTAAGAATATTTGTAAAAGTTCTAAATACCTATAAAATGTAGATGTATCACTGTATGGTAAATCTAAATAATCTCTTATGCTATTAAAAAAGCAAGAGTCTAAATGTCGTATTTCTCTAAAGAAAAATCTAAAAGTGTAACAAAAAATATATAGGTCTGAAAGAGAAAATAAACTCACGTTACACCAGGATGGAGATTGTATTTCTTTTTTCCAAATCGGGTTTGCTGAGCAAAGAAATCGTAACGTTCAGATTTTTTCCACATGTAATAAAATGCTACACATTCACCAACTGACCTTGTTCGGACCTGTAAGAAACAAACACTTGCTTTTCAGAATCATTTTTCTCTTGAAGCAATTACTTCAGGAGAAACAGCTAAAGATTCAAAACAAATTTTGCTTGTTAACAGACTTGTAATGCTGCTATTAGGTGCTGTGAAGTCAATTCTGACTCGCAGCGACCCCATGTGACACATTAGAATTATCCCATAGGGTTTCCCTACGCTGTAATCTTCACAGGAGCAGGTCACCAAGTCTTTTCTTCACTAGAGCTCTTAGGTGGATTTGAATCGCCCGTCTTTCCAAAAGCAGCCAAGTGTCTAATCCATTTGGCTGCCAGGGCTTCTGAGTTGCAACACTGTAACTGTTGTTGTTAAGTGACATCAAGTTGGTTCCAACCCATAGTCACCATAAGTTTGAACCACCGACCTTACAGTTCAAACCGACTTTGCAGTCCAGCGCATTAATCCACAGCGCCACACCAGGACTTCAACACTGTAGTAGCAGTGTTGAAAGTTATTCTTTCTAAACTCCTATTAAAGAAATATAATACAATGGTAACATGTCCATAAATATTCAGCATTCTGGTTTTTAAAAGACTACCATATCAACCTATTCAACCATAAAAACACATACTCTATTGAAAATGTCTCCAAGTGGTATTTAAGTTAAAATATTAACAGTTCACAAATACTTTCGCTCCAAGCACCTTCAATAGCCCATTCAAAAGATTCTCTCACTGGTCCTAACAGCAATCCAGACTCATTTAATTTACTTTTTTAAGAGAGGTTTAGGGATCCTGATGTGGCGCTGGGAGTTAATGTGCCAGAATTCAAAGTCGTTTGAACTGCAAGGTTGGTGGTTCAAGCTCACCAGCTGCTCCTCGGAAACCCTATACAGGGTCACTATGGGTTGGAACTGACTCCACAGCACTAACAACAAGCTATTCTACAATGAGTTAAAAGCTATTGTAATGTTAATGCTGTCTACTCAATTACTCAGGTGGCTTACTGTGTTGTATACCTATTTGTGCAACTGAATGGCTCTCCTTACATTATGTTCAGTATTTACAGGATTGGCAAATTACGCTGACAAAATCCCTTTTTGCTACTGGAAGACCTGGAATGGCTGATGACTAATAAAATATTGGGAACTAAGATAAAAATGGGTCTGCATGAGTGCTTGGGATGCAAGATACTGCTGCACTTTCTGACCTAGAAGTAGGCCACCGACTGTACCTAAGAACAACTGTTGATAATGCCTTTCTTTCTGTGAAATGTATCTCCTTCCTTCCACTCTGCTTGTTCTTTACAACTTAGGCTCACGTTGCTCTGAGACTGATAGCAATTAGGTTTAAAAATAAAATCATACTCTCCACCTCTGACATTTCCATCTTTTTGCCTCCTGAAGAAACTTATTTCTATAGAGATTCTTCCAAGGCATTGTATTTTACTGAAACAACAAAAATGAAACTTAAGGCATACTGAGTTAACCGTATTATGGAAAATTCTCAATAAAATAACAAAGTCTAAAAACGTAATGAGTTGTTGGACCTGGGGGCTCGGGACCATAGTCTATGGGAACATCAAGGTTCCCATAATTGGCATGGAGGGGATTGCAATCACTGAGATTTAACAAAGTGTATAAAACTTGTTGACTGTAAAACTGATGCTCTTGTCTGTAAACTGTCACTCAATAGCAATAAAGTTTTAATTTTAAAAAAACAAAAACAAAACACCTTATGGAGCAGTTCTCTTTCTGTAACACATGAGGTTTGCCATGGTCAGAAGTCACTTAATGGCAGGGGGTAGGAGAAAGAAAGATTCGATAGCCGAGGGGAGGAAAAGCTACTGCTGGGATTGCTGCTGCCAGTTATATTAATTTATCATTCCTGTCAGTCCAGTAGTCCTCTCCACAGCATAATCCAGGTCAATATTTGAATTCATGTGTAAGTGACACAAACTCTTACCTACAATGTTTCTTTCAACCAAAATTCAAAGTTTTTTTAAAACATTAGAAACACACATGGAAGTTATTAGCATATATGCTCTTTGCCTGTATTTGAAATTACTAGAGGTTTAGGACACAACATTAAGAGGCAAAGACCCATTTTTGTTGTTGTGGTTAATACTGATTACACATTACCTTCTTGAGTGCAGTGGCTCCACACAATAAGCACTGGACTGCGAACCACAGAACCCACAGCTCAAGCCCGCCAGTCAGCCCACGGGAGAATGAGGTTTTTCTGCTCCCATTAAGCATGAAAGCCCAGAAAACCCTATACAGGGTCAATATGAGTTGGAACTGACTGAGTGGCACTTAACAATAACATTATCTTCTTAGATATATCCTAAAACTCAAATAGCTCTCGTTAGCTATGTGTTATGCCAAATACCAAAAATGCAACAAGATACTTGAGAAAAATGGATATGAAATATGTGGAGAAAGAAAATCCCATCCAGAGGCATGTTTTGGTTAAGTTATTGTATGACAAGAGAGAAGACTAGTACGCCCCTTGACAAGGATGCCGTTGGGCCTTACACCATGCATACAGTTACGGTAGTGTGGCATCTAATCATGGTTTAAGGAGTCCTGGTGTGGCGCTGTGGGCTAATGTGTCAGACAGCAAAGTCACTTGAACTGAAAGATTGGTGGTTCAAGCTCACCAGCTGCTTCTTGGAAACCCTACACAGGGTTGCTATGGGTTGGAATCGACTTGATGGCACTTCACAACAACAACAAGTGCTATGCTGCAGGATAAGCACTCAACCACAAGGTCAGTTTGAACCACAAGGTCTGTGGTTAAACTCACCAGCCACTCCTCGGAAACCCTATACAGGGTCACTATGAGTCAGAAATGACTCTGCAGCACCTAACAACAACAAACAGATATACAGACTGTCAAATACCTTGACATTTGTATTCTTTAGACAATGTGAGATTCAAAAGCCTAGAAACAAGTTTCTAAGGAGCTCTGGTAGCATAGTGGTTACGATTTGGGCTGCTAACCTCAGGTCAGCAGTTTGAAACTACCAGCTGGTTCCATGGAGAAAGATGAGGCTTTCTGTTCCCGTAAAGATTTACAGCCTCGGAAACCCTGTGCAGGGTCACTATGAGTTGGAACCGACTCCACAGTACTTAACAACAATAGGTGTGAATTTTTGTGTTCTATACAATTTTGTTGTTGTTAAGTGCTGTCGAGTCTGTTCTGACTCACAGCAACTCCATATAGAGTTACTAAGGAGCAGTTGGTGAGTTTTTGTTGCTATTAAAAATCTTGTCTGATTTGGGTAAAAATTTAGCAACCCCCCTAAAAAAACCTGGCAAATGCTTATAAAATTCTTTATGACTTACAACTATCAGTGTGGAATGACAGATGCTCATATTAAATAAAATTGTCAACTTATGGCAACTATAAAACACAAACGAATTGCTGTCAAATTGATTCTGATACATAGTAACCATGCAAGACAGAGCACAACTGTCAAGTCACACAGCATTTCCCAAGCTAAGCAGACAGTTACAAATTTCTTCCATAGAGTAGTTGGTGGGTCCTAACTGCCAACCTTTTGGTTAGTAGATTAGCACTTAACCAGTAATGAGTTTATCTGAACCCACAGAGACCCTACAGGACAGAGTACAATTGCTCCACAGGGTTCCAAGGCTAAAAATCTTTATAGAAACAGGCTGCCTCATCTTTCTCCTTGTGGAGTGTCTGATGGTTTTGAACCAGTATCCTTTTATTAGCTGTCTTAAGATTTCACCCACTATACCACCAGGGCTCCTTCACTGCACCGACAGGCTATGCTGTTGTTGTTAAGGGCTGTCAAGTCAGTTCTGACCCATAGCGACCCTGTATAGGGTTTCCAAGGAATAGCTGGTGAACTTGAACCGCCAACCTAGCAGTTCAAATGGTTTTGCAGTGTGGCGCATTAACACACAGTGCCACACCAAGATTTCACCCACTCCACTACCAGGGCTCCTTCACCGCACTGACATGCTATAATAATGTTTAATGTGACAGCAAGCCAAAAATCATATAAACATTTAACAAAGATATCAAAAATAGGAAAGCTATTATTTCTCAATGTATCCTTCATCTAGGCCTATACACTTCTGATTCCATCTCTCTTAATACTTCCACAACTCTGTACTCCTGAAGATTATCCATCTGGAATCTCAAAGACCACTCACCATAAACTTCTAAGCTGACCTCCCTTCCTTGAATTTAACTGACCCATCAGGATCCCCTAATGGCCACTGTTTTGATAGACCTTGCTCTCTGGATTATATTGGTAAACCCTAAACTTGGAGTCCTGGTGGCTCTGTAGGATAAACACTGAACAGCAGTTCAAGAGGTTGGTGGTTCAAAACTACCAGCCTCTCCTAGGAAACCCTATACAGAGTCACTATGAGTCAGAACTCAGGTCGGCAGGTCAAGCTCACCAGCTGCTCCTCAGAAACCCTATACAGGGTCGCTAAGGGTCAGAATCAACTCGACAGCACTTAACAACAACAAGCACAAATAACTTGTTCATTGTAACTTGTTATTGTATGATCCACTCCATAAAATTATCTTCATTTACTTCAATCTTGCTTAAAAAAGACTGACGGAAAGATCAATTCGCTTTTTGAGCTAGCTGATCTTTGCCCAAAGTCTTTTCACATCCATTGAGCTAAAAACTTGTTGAGATCAAACTGTTCCCTTAAAATTGAAAACATGGAATCATGTGAGATCCCAACTTCAGGAGCTATTACATCAATAGTTAATTTTACGGTTTCTTCCACTGTTTCTGGACTTCCATCAGTTTCTTCATTCATCGAGGTCTTCCCTCCTTTTGCTCATATTTGAGGTCTCACACTTGACCCATCTAAAAACTGTTGTTTTATGCAAAGCAGCATTTCTATTCAATGATTTGGGAAAGATGTCCACTTGGAATTTTGTATTTGTTTTTACTCCTGACCTCAAAACTGTTTTTTACCCCATGGCACAAAAAATTATCTTTTTATGAAGATACCCTAATGAGATTAAAACAAATATATTACTGAAAAATTGTCTGGAGCCATCCACTGATCTCAGACACGTTATGTTTAAAAGATTTTTATTTGGAAAAAACCCCACACATTTATGAACTGGAACAATAGTAGTAATACTTTTTGACTCATCCTCATAAATCAAGCTATGATTGAGACAGAAAGTTGAGTCATGCTAAAATGAATTTTAATCATAACTTAGTATCTGGTTTTAGACCACTCAGAACTCAAATGTAATACCTATTTTAAAATATTTAATTTTAAATATTTATAATCATAAAGTGCTAAGGTTTCAAAATTAAAGGATTCTTTAAAAAAAAAAAAAAAAAAAAACAGTAAAATTTTAGACAATACACATCTTGCACCCTGGGAGCTGATAAGCGTAACTGTATACCTACTCCTCACTTATGGATATAGTTAGGTTCCTAAGAACAAGTTGTGTGGCAAAATCAAAGTTGTGCAAGAGTTGGTGGTTTTGTCCATCTTTGATGCTGGTGTCCATAGGGCATCCCTGCTCAACATAGCAGGCCCCACTCCCCAACCACCACTTATATTCCAACTGCTTCAGAATCTTACCCTGTGTAGTCCATTTGCTTCCCTCGTCACCCTAATCTCCAGACATACCTCCAAGTCCACACCCAACCTCACCTTGCCCATCTGCAACTTAAGAGTCAAACAGGAGAAGGCATCCTACAGCAAGTTAGTCATTGGTATATTGTTCAGGATGGCCTGCAAGAGGGCAACCCAGGGCTGGCCCCAGACTGATGTGCACCTGGACCATCAGAGGTACCACCTGAGAATTTTTCCAAAGTTGTTGTAAATGTGAAACGTCAAGACAGCGAGATAGATGATAAACAAAGAACAGGTATAAATGAGTACAATTTTTTTTTAAATCTTTCAACATTATGTGGTGAAAATCATCACTTGGCTAATTTATTCCAGTAAGTCATAAATTACAGTAATTCTCTATCAAGACATTAAAATATTCATGATAGAACCTTTAATATTTGAAAATACAGCAATCACATTATGGTTTGGGTTGTTAAACTAAATTTTTTTTGGATAAAAACAAGAATGTATCTTTACTTACTTTATTAGCCTGAATCAAATGAAAATCCTTTCCATAAGCCTTCAAACCTTGTTCAAAATTTCTACATTCTTCTTCTGTCCAAACAGATAATTCCTCTGACAAAATGGGAGAGAAAAGTGCTTAGCAATAATTTTCCAAATGTTGCATATACTAGAATTGTTAATAACTATGTCGATTTCTGATAATGAGGGACTGCTCACTGCAAAAGAGAAAGTAAAAAGTATTCCTAATTAAATAAAAATTTAAATTACCTGATCTTTATCTGGACAGTTTCAAGTCAGGCCACTTTTTCCTTTATTTTTTATAGTTCAAGTATACCAGCTAACACACCATTCAATTCTTTAAATTTGCTACACTGCTCTTTCTTCAGATTTTGTATGCCATTTCCTTTGCCTAAAATTATTTCCTGTCTCCTAACTCTCTCCACCCTTCACCTAGATAATACCTGTAAGTCCCAGAAAAATGTAATGTTGTTGTTCTTAAGCGCTGTATAGTTGGTTCCAACTCACAGAGACTTTGAATAGGGTTTCCAAAGAGCAACTGGTGGGTATGAACTGCTGACCTTTCAGTTCTCTGTCCAGTGCTAATCCTACAACACTACACCAGGAGTCAATGGCATCTTCACATTCTCCTTGGATGAATACATCATAACTATTTTCAGTTCCCAACCTAGGCACTGTGAGTTAATTCACTGGACTGCAAAGTCAGTTTGAATTGCAAGGTCGGCAGGTCAAGTTCACAAGCTGCTCCTCAGAAACCCTATATAGGGTTGCTATGAGTCGGAATAGACTCAACAGCACTTAACAACAACAACCTAGATTCTTAAGCGTCATGAGGAATGGTTTATTTACATTTATACCTCAGAACTTAGAAGACATACAAATACTTGTTGAATGACTAAGTAAATACTATACATTTGCTATTTAATTATATATAAACAGCACTCTTAGTGAAGAAGGTTGGGAAGCAGTAGAAAAACAAATTGCCACATTTTCAGTTGCAGCTTCATTATTTATTAATAGTATTTGCCTCAGACAAACTTCAGGCTCTTTAATTTTAAAGTGACGTGACATCTATAATATAGAACAAGACCACATAAAGTATTTTTTTAAATGCCTTGAAAATGTTAATACGGGAATAGCAAAGAAAGTATAGTTAGTAATCAGAAGAGGAACAGGAACGCATGTCTAACCACTTTCATAAACAACTGGTTCTTGTGCCACACCACCAAAACTGAATGGTGCATGAACCTGAAAACTTTCTGCCTGTGAATGACTCAAGCCAGGTAGAGCTTAATTCCTTATATGTTGTGCCTAGATTTAAGCGTTCAAATGCCGATTTTCCACGAGTACTTCATGCAACTCTGAAAGTTAAACTGCCAGAGCTAGAAGCAGAATTTATTTAAAGGTGGATTGGGGCCACTTTCCCCAGCTTGCCATCATCGGAACTTTCTAATTGCAGCCCTTACTGGTTGGCTCATTGTGATATCATACCCCAAAAGCCTAGAGACAGTCTGTAAGCTTTCCTATCTAAACAGTTCCCAATTGCTTTCTGTACTGTACCATCTGAGTGCTGGGACACATGGCTGCTGCAATCAGTCATGGTTGTGGGAGGAAATAGAGATAGAACTCAGGAAACTCATCATGGTGTCTATGATTTCCCTCTACCAGGATAATCTATTTTTGTCTTTGCCTTGTATTTAATGCTGTTTAAGATTTAATAGGGAGTCTCTATAATACTATGGATTCCTGGTTTGACACTGTAGGATAAACAAACACTGGACTGCCAACCACAGGGTCAGCAGTTCAAACCCATCAATTGCTGCTCGGAAACTCTATACAGGGTTGCTAAGAGAACCAACTCCACTGCACTTAAAAACAACAACATAATACTTATATATTTGAAGACAGGGTCTCTTTTCTCACGTGTAACAATGGTGCCTGGCTACCATTACTGAATATTTTGATCAAAGATTCTATAGAATTCTGATCAAAACTGAGAAAGTGAACAGATTTTCATATTCTCATAAAATCCAGATTTCCTGGGTTGTATGACTGGGGCTGCATACTCATAGCAACCCTGTATAGGGTTTCTGAGGCTGTGAATCTTTATCGGAACAGAAAACCTCATCTTTCTCACAGAGAATGGCTGGTAGTTTTGAACTGCTGACCTTGAGGTTGGTTAGCAGCCCAACTCATAACCTCTACGCTACCAGAGCTTAATGAGTAAAAAATGTTTGCCTAGGGTATTATGCTATTTTAAAGAAACAACTATGTGTGATTGGACAAAAGCAACTTGAAAATTAGATGAGAAACTTGGTGGCAGTGTGTTTACGTTACTGGAGGTAAATAATCTGTAAAAGTTTACCAACAACTTGAAGACTGTACCTAATGTCATTGAATTATATATGAAGATCTCACTAAATTGGTATAGGTTTTGGTGTGCATTCTCTTACACACACTGGCACACACATACCTCCCCCTCAACTATCTAAGCATTAAAAAAACAAAAATATGTTATTATGGTGTAATTTTTCCATTTAAATCTGAGAAGGGGCAGTCTCAATCCCATTCTACGTAATTTCTTGTATACTGTTTAAAATGAACAGTATTCACAGAACACGTAAAGATTGGCATTATCAAGCTGAGCGCATACTTTAGGTAGACTATACATTTTAAATTTCTGCAATACCATGAAAATATAAGCATTAATTTAATATTTACTTATACTTACCTCTAGCTGCTTTTACATTAAATCTTAATCTTCTCAATGCTTCTTCTGTATCAAAATTGCACTTAACCAATTCATATAAAGCCTAGGAAAACAAAAGGCCTCAGTATGTGACCTGAAGTAGAAATAACAATTTCTCGAAAAAAAAAGCTTTTCCAGAATTCGGTACTTGCTTTCATTTTTTCCAGAACCCAAATAATTCTAGCGAATACAGCACATAAGATATCAAGGGAAAACAAACGAAAATTCAATTCAGATAATTAAATATCTCTAAATATATAAGGTAAGGAGCTCTGGTAGTATAGTGGTTATGAATCGGGCTGCTAATGTCACGGTGAGCAGTTCAAAACTACCAGCTGTTCCACAGGAGAAAGATGAGGCTTTCTGCTCCCGTAAAGATTTACAGCCTTGGAAACCCTGTACAGGGTCGCTATGAGTCGGAACCGACCGGTACATAACAACAACAAATATATAGAGTAGTCCTGGTATAGTGCTGTAGGATAAGCACGGGACCACAAGGCCAGTATGACCTGCAAGGCTGGTGGTTCAAACTCACCAGTCGCTCCTTGGAAAGCCTATAGTGCGTTGCTATAAGTCAGCATTGACTAGACAGTACTTAACATAAAGCAAATATGAAGAAATAAGGAAATGCTTTGTTATAGCATCACAAGTATTTAAAAATGAAAAATTTCCTATCAATCACAATCCCTCATTGCATTATTCAGTGGTTTCTAACTCAATTACAAATTTAAACAAATCAGAAAATAAAAAAGCGACATTGACAGATTATGATAGGAACTTGTCAACCAAAAGCACAATAATAGTATCCTAGATGAGTGTTACCAAACTGATTCCAGATTCATTGTTGTTACTGTTGTTATTAGGACCCTTCCAGCAGTTCTGACTCATAGCAACCATATGCACAACAGAACGAAACACTGCCTGTACTGCACCATCATGATCGTTGTTAAGCTTGAGCCCATTGCACTGCCACTGTGCCAACCCAGTTCTGTGGGGGTCTTCCTCTTTCTCAGTGACTCTCCACTTTACCAGGCATAATGTCCTTCTCCAGGGACTGGTCCGTCCTGATAATATGGCTGAAGTATGAGAGATGAAGTTTCCTCCCATCCTTGCTTAGAAGGACCATTCTAACTGTATTTCTTCCAACACTGATTAATTTGTTCTTCTAGTAGTCCATGGTATTTCAATATTCTTTTCCAAGACCATAAACTCAAATGCATCAATTCTTCTATGGTCTTCCTTACTCACATGAGGCAATTGAAAATATGGCTTGGGTCAAGTGCACCTTAGTCCTCAAACTGTTATTTTTGCTCTTCAACATTTTAAAGAGGTCTTGTACAGATTTGCCTAATGCAGCAATAATATGTCATATAATTTCTTGATTGTTG